CATTTGGCTATCCACCAATTCTGGTACCTTCTTAGTGCAATGCTTTGTGGGATGAAAGGAATGAATTGAAATTCAATCAGGTCATGAATCAATTTGGAGGTTGATTCTTCCAGCCTGGTTCTTTGCACTTTCAGCTCTCTAGTAGCAAGATTTGGGTTAGTTTGGCTACATAGAGGGATAGGGATCCCCTGGGTAAGCCTAAATTGCCTAGCAAATTGAGCAGGGCAGTAGGCTTCTACTATGCATTTGTAAGCTCGAGGGTGTAAATTGCCAATAAAAAGCTCCACAGGAGTTAAGATAGAAGCCCACATGTCCCTATGTTGAGGTTGGGAGCAGTTTCTGTCAGCTAAGAAGGTCCTCAACCATGCTAGGCCAACATTGGCTTCGAAGGGACAGAAAAAAGTGTGAGAAATAAGAAAAGCTAGAAGTTGATGGAAAAAGGTGAAGTAGTAAGAAAAATTGAAAGGGTAGAGTGAAACTCTGGCATATTTTTCTCCATAAGTAGTAGGGTTTGGTACCAAAAACCTTAGACATCTGGAGTGTAAATCGATGAAGTAGGCAAAGAGCCAAAGTTGCAATATCCAGAATGGCCCCCCTTGGTTGGCATCCAAAGGTTTTTCACAAAACTGGAAGCAGGCTCTATATACGTGGCCTAAAACATATGGAGCTAGGGCTATCTTCTTTCCCAAAGCAAGAGCCTTGGCATGAGGGGCAAACTCAGGCATAATCCTCTGAGAAGAAGTGCAAAATAAAAATTTGCAAAGCTAGTATAGAAAAAAAAAGAAGAATTCTCGGTCTGTTACAAGGCCCTCCCTTTGGTTTTCAGAAATTGCGAAATCACTAAAAGAGGAGTTAAGAGAGGAAATGAAAAAAGACACATTAAGGTCGGGGTAACCAAGGCCAAAAGGAGTGCCAATGGGGAATAACCCTAAGAGATGGCATATATCAAGAACTGTAAGAGCCATCATACCATATCGAAATTGGAAAAAATTAAAAGATGGATTCCAAAAACAAAGTGCAGAGGGTATGAGGAAAAGGTCTTTAGAAATAGAAAACCTGGCTAATCGAAGGGCGTCGAGGAGACAGAGTTCTTGAAGGTCCAACATCCTAGCAAGAACAACTTGATTGTACCATTCCTTTTATTCAGGCCTCAGGGTGGGCCATCAACGGTGGGGTCGATTCAACCTCCAGCTCCTCCAGTCAAGGCCACCCTCGTAAATGAGGCAATGATCCTCTAGACGCGGGTATAAGACAGGGAGCTGAGCAAGGGTTTCCCTGAAAATAGGTCCAAGCACGTATTCTCCTTGAGCATGGTAACGGGGAATGAGGATGCGTCCACCAATAGCACACCGTTCACTAACTCTGTATTTGTCGCATTCCTCATTAATCAGTCTCCTCAAAGCCACAGATGGGCTTACGTACTTAACGACTGGTACTTTTAGAGGAGAAAAAGCCATTATCGAGGAGTTGAAGGAAGAAAGTGGATGAGGAGTGAAAACTTGCAGACAATAGCAATAAGGGTGAGAAGGGAAATTTTGGGCAAGTGAATAGATAAAGCGCGAGGAAAAATAGTTTTAAACCTTTCCGTCCAAAAAATTACCAAGTCGACCCAATGGGTTAAGTAGACCCAAAATAAACTATTTGATGGTTTTTGACTCATGTGGAATTAAAACTCTAGTTTTAAAATACAAGCGGTCTCAAAACCACATCATAGAGAGTCTTTTTCAAGAGTAAGTTTTGGGAGGAAAGTATATTTTTAAATGCTTAGCTTGGCTTCGAAAACCTATAAGTTGGCTTCGAAGCCAGTTTTCTTCCAAGATCTTCGAAGCTTATGCCTTAGAAAGACATTAGTTACAGCCTGTTCTCTTCGAAGGTTTTATAAGCATACTTCTAGGACATCTTTATAAGGTAATATCCTTCGAACACTACAAGAAAAGTGGGCTTATGAGACGGAACTTTTTGCGATGGCACATTTGCTGTCACAAAAAAATGACTTTTTGCGACGGCACAACTTGTTGTCTCAAAAAATGTGACTTTTGGAGACGGCACAACTTGCCGTCGCAAAAAATGTGACTTTTGGAGACGGCACAACTTGCCATCAAAAAAAATGTGACCTTTCGAGACGGCACAACTTGCCGTCGCCAAAAAATGTGACTTTTTGAGACGACACAACTTGCCGTCGCAAAAAATAGAGTATTTGCGATGGCAGAAATTGTTGTCGCAAAAAAAAAATAGAGTATTTGCAATGGCAGAGATTGTTGTCGCAAAAAATAGAATTTTTGCGACGGTACCAGCTGCAGTCGCCAAAAAAAAAAAAAAAAAAAAAGTTTTTTGCGATTGTAATACGTATCGTTGCAAAATATATATATATATATATATTGTCGCTTTGAGACGACTTCATATATATAAAGTCATAAAATGGTTTAAATAAATGCAACGGTATTTTTCTGTTACAAAAAAAAAATAAAAACAACGTCGTCTTACTCTTTTGAACATTTCTCTTTTCACCCATTTTTTCATCTTTCTATCTCTCTGTCTCTGTCTCTGTCTCTGTCTTTGTCTCTCTTCTCTTTCTCTTTCTCTCTCTCACTCATAACTCTTCTCTATCTGTCTGTCTCTCTCTTTCTTTATGTGTCTCTGTCTCTCTTCTCTCTCTCTCTCTCACTCATCACTCTTCTTTGTCTGTTTGTCTCTTTCTTTCTCTCTATGTCTCTGTCTCTCTTCTCTTTCTCTCTCTCACTCATCACTCTTCTCTGTCTGTCTGTCTGTCTGTCTGTGTCTCTCTTTCTCTCTGTATCTCTCATTCATCTTTCTTCTCTTTATCTGTTTCACCTCTCTTCTCTCTATCTCTCTTCTTTCTCTCTTCTCTTTATCTCTCTCGCTCTCTCGCCCATCTCTCTCTATCTCTCTCTCGTTTATCTCTTTTCGCTCTTTTGTTCTCTTTTTCTCTCTTTCTCTCTCTCTTTGTCTATATCTTTTCATCAATTTTTTTTATCTTCCTCTCTCTCTTCTCTTTCTCTCTCCCACTTATCACTCTTCTTTCTCTGTCTGTCTGTCTATCTGTCTGTCTATGTGTCTCTCACTCATCTATCTCTTCTCTCATCTCTTTTCTCTCTCTGTCTCTTTCGTTCATATCTCTTCTCTTTATCTCTCTCGCTCATCTCTCTTCTCTCTATCTTTCTTTCTGTCTCTCTCGTTCATCTCTCTTCTCTTTATGTCTCTCTCGCTCATCTCTCTTCTCTCTATCTCTCTCGTCCATATCTCTTCTCTCTCTGTCTCTTTTCTGTCTTTCACTCTCTATATCTCTCTCTCTCTCTCTCTTTGCCATTGTGTTTGCGTTGCTCACTTTCTCCCTCACGTCTTCTCTATTTACTGAGCTCCCTTTCGATTTATCGATCCACTACAAGAAAATGCACTTTTAGCGACCACTTTGTCTCTCTCTCACTCATCACTCTGTCCATGTTTCTCTCTCTTTCTCTCTCCTCTCTCTCTCCTCTATTTGTCTCTCACTCATCTCTCTCTCTCACCACCCATCTCCTCTACCACCTTCACCACTACTGCAAACGCCATTCCACCACCACCACTACTTCCACTGTCACCACTTCACCTCTACGACTACCATTACTACTACCATCGCCACCACTCTACTACCACCACTGCCACTATTACCACTAATACTACCATTACCTCTCATTCACTCCTGCCACTCCATCTACACTACCACTACCACAACTTCACCACTAATCTCTTTCATCATCACCACCACCACCACTACCACCATCATCTCTTATCCACCACCTTCACTACTACTGCCGCTCCATTTCCTCTACCACAAAAAATTAGTTCATGATTTTTAGTAACAAAAAAAAATAGGCTGCAGAAAAATATTTTTCAATAACCACAGAAAATTAACTTTTATTTTAGTGGAAAATATTTTTCATTAAAATATTACCCCTACTTTTACCAAAAAAAATAATAATAATTGTTTTTCATTAAAATAAAAATGAAATAAATAAATTTTTAATCTTAGTAACTAAAAAAAAATGATTTTTTTTTTTAAAAAATTCATTAACTACAAAAAAAAATTTTATTTTAACAAAAAATAAAGTTTTTTAGCGACGACAACCCCCCGTCACAAAAAAAATAAAATAAAATAAAAAATTAAACGGCATTATTTTGTTATTTAAATTTCATTTGTGACAAAAAAAAATTTAATTTTTTTTTTGTTTTATTGGTATTATTTTGTTATTTAAATTTCATTTGTGACCAAAAATTTTTTTGTTATTTAAATTTCATTTATGACCAAAATTTTTTTTTTATGTAAACCCCCCCTCAAAAAAAAAAACCAAAAATCCCTAATCTCTTAGGCCCCGTTTATTTTAGGCTATAGGGAGGGTATTGAGACTAGTAATACCAAGGTATTACTAATGCTCTTGTTTGTTTACAGAGATAGCCTTGAGACTATTAGTCCCTTGGTATTACTAATACCCTTGAAAAGGAATTGATAAGGAGAAAGTAGAGATGATATTAGAAAATAGTGAAGGGATTAAAATTTTTTTTATTTTTTATATATTGAGAATTTTTTTTAAATATAATATTTAATTTTTATATATTTTTTATTTTTTTATTATTTTATATAAAAATAATTTAATAAATCCCCACTAATAATCCCTTCATTATTAGTCTCCTCACCTCAATCCATCCATTCTATTCCCAAAACAAACGGGGCGAGTCACTTTAAAACACTAGTACAGTCTAAAGCTGTGGTTTCTGTCCATCTCTCTCTCTCTCTAGAATATTGGGGACAATCGTCGAGCGCCATGGTTCGTTTCAAAGCTAAAGCTTAAATCTTTGTTTTTTTTGTTGTTTGTGTGTTTGATAATCGTATATTTCCGATATCGATCTCAATTGAACGTGTACTGATTTGATTGTTGTTTTTTTGTTTGATAAGTGATTTGTTAAGCGTCAAGGAGATTACACAGAGCTTCACAGGAAGAGAAATGGCTATCGCCATGATCATTTCGAGCGCAAAACGAAAGAAAGAGGCTCGTGAAGTCGACAAGCGATCTCAGATTGCTCAGAAGGTTCAGTTTCTTCACTTTTCTCATGTATGTATTTATGGAGTTTTGTATGGAAGTTCTAATTTTGTGCTTCAATTTGAATTGAGCAGTCTTTGGGTATCAATGGTATGATGTTTGCTAAGAAACGTTATGCTGAGAAGGCCCAAATGAAGAAAACGTGAGTGTTTTTTTTTTGCTTTATCAAGGGTAAGATGTTTGACTCTGTTTTGCTTTATTTGATACCTTGATTTTATTTGGAATGTGGGTTTTTATTATATTGTTCTGTTTCATATAAACAAACACAGTTTACATCTTAACTCTTCTTTGCTGTCTTCCTTTCTGGTTTTTGTGCTTCCTTTCACCTTCTATCGAGTTCTCTCTCTCTCTCTCTCTCTCTCTCTCTATAGATATATATAATTCTTCTTCATATGTGTTCTTTGTAAGAATTATATACCATCCATGAAGAAATCCTTGAGCTTGTGGAGACAGCCCAAGGTGGCTATGCAAAGTAGGACTCTGTTTTATTTTCTACAAATTATCTTTAAATTATTTTTAATGTGCTTTTATTAATCTGTTATTCTATCGCTTGTGTAGGTAGGAAGACTAGAAGATGCTAAAGAAGTTATCCGTAACCTTTGGGGGCCATCTGAAGTCAACAAAGCAATTGAAGAATTTCAGTCAGTCAATAGGAATGATGATTTGGAGAGCAGATGGCTGGAACTCCTAGAGCAGCCACACTCTAGAGGTTGTATTAAGGTTGTTTTTAGTGTCCCATATGGACAGGCTTTGAACTTTTAACGGTAGTTAACATTGATAGGCACCATTGTTAGAATCACTTTATATAGTCATTCATATATATATATATTATAAATACACAATGTTTAAAATGAAATAAATATCATTATAATGATTTTTTTTTTTTTTAATTTCTTGATAGCGAGGAAAAAAAGACATTGTATTGTGCATTATGAAAATAAAAACAAAAACAACTGAATCGCATTGAATCACAGCGAATCATTATGAATCACAAATTGAATTGCACGATTCACTCATTTTCTATGAAACAACACGACTCCAATTGTTTTGGTTGAAACTTATATCGAATCATGGATCGTATGATTCTAAAAACCATGCTAGGCACCGCTCGTTTGAACATTATCTTTTCAAAGACAGTACATGTGCGCACTTATATTCAACCTGCTTTCTTTGATCGTTGGAACTTGGAAGTTGTGAGAAATACAAACAGGCACAAACAGCTCTGATAAGGATTGGTTTAGATGAGTTTAGAAGAAGTTCTAGGAATACAAGTTCTTTTCCCAGTAATGATCAATGCTGTCATTACCCGACAAGTGTGCTTGTCTTCTTGGTTCTCATGCTTACATATTGTGAACGGTGCACTTTAGACACCCCTAAGGAGATGCCATTTTCACTCAGTTCTATTTTAGATATGTGCAGTGTCATGTTTTTGTGGTATTATATGGATCACCCTGTTGTATTTTAGCACGCAGTATGTCCTTATTTTGAGTTATTTGGCATATCTGTCCTCAGTTTCAGTCACAAATTTCTTTATGGCTGCAGTTGCATTCATTGGAGGTGCCCTTTTCATACTTCAACAGTTTGCTGGTATAAATGGAGTTCTTTATTTTTCGTCACTGACTTTTCAAGATGTTGGAATTACGAGTGGTGCTTTAGCAAGCTTATTTGTTGGACTTACCAACTTTGCAGGTTCAGTATAAATTATGGATATATATGTATATCATATTAGTATGATACATGCATGAAAAATATGATGCTGGTACTCATGTCCAGGTGCACTTGGTGCTTTATACTTGATGGATAAGCGAGGGAGGAAAACGCTTCTAATTGGTAGTTACTTGGGAATGGTGAGTGAAGTGAAAATGAGATGTTTCTTATCTTATGACATTTTTTTTTGGATGGAGATAAATTGAATAGCTTACACATAGCTTAAGCTATTGGTGGGATATTAAACTATGTAATACAACATGTCAACATTACTCAAAAGCTTTGAAGCACGGATACTTCTAAATGGAGTCATATCTATGTCGTACCCATATTCTGGATATTGATACTCCTTGGATACTCACTGATACGTCCAATACTTCCTAAACATGTCCGATATTTAATGTTAATTTTGAGAAGTATCCGATACTCTTAAAACACTCACGGTCACGTATCCAAATTATTATGAAATCGAGATTGTAATAATTTTTGCATAGTATTAGAGTATGATTGTTAGAATAAATACAAAGTAGTTTTTCAATATTTTCTTATTTCTTACCGAAGAAGAAAATAGTGAAATTAAAGTGGTAATGCTAATTTTTTAGATTTTATCAAATTAATGTGTCCACTGAAAAAAAAAAGAAAAAAAAAAGAAAAGAAAAAGGAAACAAACAAGTAAATTAATTATTTTTTGAGTTCATGTATCATATAATACTAAAAATTATTTTAAAAAAATATAAAAAAATTTAATGCATCCTATTCATATCCATATCCTATTTTTTAAGATTTTGTCGTATCGCCGTATTCTTGTATCATATTTTGTATCCATGTTTCATAGCTCAGAAAGGGTGTTTGAGAATGAGGAAATATTCGTCTTGTGTACACTCATAAAATACGAAAATGAATTTGTTTAAGGGAGGCAGTTGGTGGGAGTGGGACAATATGTTCTCTTTTAGATACATTTTGCGGTCTAAATGTTTGTTCTTGATTACATAGCCCATGGACTAACGCACAAAATCTGTCTTTTTGCAGGCAATATCGATGTTTCTAGTAGTCTATGCTATCAGCTCTCCAATAGATGAAGAGCTTGGTCACAACTTATCAATATTGGGAACTGTCCTGTATGTTTTCTTCACCATGTGGCATTTGAAAGTGTTTTTAAGATATAAATTATTAAATCAATTGAATTTAATTGTGGCATTCTCAGCATACTTATAGCAGCAAATCTATAGATGCGCTATATTATTGGATTCTACCTTTTACATGCTTTTAGGTACATATTTACCTTTGCTATTGGATCTGGCCCTGTAACTGGTATTATTATACCGGAGCTTAGTAGCAGCAGGATGCGTGGGAAGATCATGGGTTTCAGTTTCTCAGTTCATTGGGTATGTTTCACAAACCTGTCCGATAATTAATGAGAAACAACTATTAATTGTGAAGGGTCGGTAAAAAAAAAGTGAAAAGTAAAAAATTAGAAAGAAAGAAATGGGTGAAGTTCTAGAGAATGGCTGTTTCTATCTCATGATTTAGCTTTGCATGTAGGTGTCATAATTTTGTAGACTTGCTCATAAGATATAAATGGGCCGATTAGAATGATATATATATATAATTATCTTGTAAAGTAGAGAATTTTTTATTTAAAATTTATTTTAAAGAGTGGAAACTTATTTATCAAATTACATGAAATGTGGTTACTAAACACGTTTTCAGAAACGTACTTAGTAAACAAATGCCTTCAAATTTCCTCGTTTTGAAGTTTGATCTAGAGTATAACCGTGATTGCTAGCGACGCTTTTTATTAGAATGTTGTTAGCAATCATGTTTTCATCAGAGTTTGAACAAGTATGAAACAAAAAAGTGTGGTTACTAAACACGCTTCCAAAAAAAAGTGTTTATTAATCACGCCTTAATATAATTTGAGAAGTTGAACAAGACTCGTTTTCTTAAAATAAAATTTATATTAAACATAATAATGGTAAGAAGCCATGTAAATGTATGTTTCTAGTACTTCAAGCATACCTATTTGATGATGCTTTTGGTGGACTATATTTGTAATTCAAACTGTAGTTTAGTTTGCATTTGTCATGTGACTCAGGTTTGTAATTTCTTGGTTGGTCTATTCTTCCTTGAGCTTGTGGAGAAATTTGGAGTTGCTCCAGTTTATGCAAGCTTTGGCGCGTTTTCCTTGCTGTCAGCAATATTTGCTTACAATTTTATCATTGAAACTAAAGGGCGTTCCCTTGAAGAAATTGAGATGTCTTTAAATCCCAATTTTGCGGCCAAGGATGAGTGACCAATATCTAAATCCTTGATCAAGAGAAGTAGAGACGACACGGAAAGTTTATCGAGCTTGAGCCTTAGTTGCAGAAGATGGTTATTCTGATGTGGCTGTCTTCAGGCATTTAAGGTTATTTTGAAGTCTTGTATTCTCATTGCATTTTGGATTATGATTGATTTTATTTCGTTTTCTTTGGTGTACCATTGAAATTGTACACGTGTCCCCTATTTTTTGAAAATTTGCGTTTTTGCGTGTCCGTGTCGTGTCCGTGTCGTGTCGCGTGTCCGTGTCCGTGCTTCTTAGATGCTTACATATTGTGAACGGTGCACTTTAGACACCCCTAAGGAGATGCCATTTTCACTCAGTTCTATTTTAGATATGTGCAGTGTTATGTTTTTGTGGTATTATCTGGTACTCATGTCCAGGTGCACTTGGTGCTTTATACTTGATGGATAAGCAAGGGAGGAAAACGCTTCTAAATGGTAGTTACTTGGGAATGGTGAGTGAAGTGAAAATGAGATGTTTCTTATCTAATGACATTTTTTTTTGGATGGACATAAATTGAATAGCTTACACATAGCTTAAGCTATTGGTGGGATATTAAACTATGTAATACAACATGTCAACATTACTCAAAAGCTTTGAAGCACGGATACTTCTAAATGGAGTCATATCGATGTCGTACTCATATTCTGGATATTGATACTCCTTGGATACTCCCTGATACGTTCAATACTTCCTACACATATCTGATATTTAATGTTAATTTTGAGAAGTATCGGATATTTTTCAAACACTCTCGGTCACGTATTCAAATTATTATGAAATCGAGATTGTAATAATTTTTGCATAGTTAGAGTATGATTGTTAGAATAAATACAAAGTAGTTTTTCAATATTTTCTTATTTCTTACCGAAGAAGAAAATAGTGAAATTAAAGTAGTATATTTTATCAAATTAACGTGTCCACTGGGAAAAAAAAAAGGAAAAAAACAAGTAAATTAATTATTTTTTGAGTTCATGTATCATATAATACTAAAAAATATTTTTAAAAAATATAAAAAAAAATTAATACATCCTATTCATATCCATATCCTATTTTTTAAGATTTTGTCGTATCGCCGTATTCTTGTATCATATTTTGTATCCATGTTTCATAGCTCGGAAAGGGTGTTTGAGAGAGGGAATATTGGAACATTTCGTCTTGTGTACACTCATAAAATATGAAAATGGATTTGTTTAAGGGAGGCAGTTGGTGGGAGTGGGACAATATGTTCTCTTTCAGATACATTTTGCTGTCTAAATGTTTATTCTTGATTACATAGCCCATGGACTAACCCACAAAATCTGTCTTTTTGCAGGCAATATTGATGTTTCTAGTAGACTATGCTATCAGCTCTCCAATAGATGAAGAGCTTGGTCACAACTTATCAATATTGGAAACTGTCCTGTATGTTTTCTTCACCATGTGGCATTTAAAAGTGTTTTTAAGATATAAATTATTAAATCAATTGAATTTAATTGTAGCATTCTCAGCTTACTCATAGCAGCAAATCTATAGATGTGCTATATTATTGGATTCTATCTTTTACATGCTTTTAGGTACATATTTACCTTTGCCATTGGATCTGGCCCAGTAACTGGTATTATTATACCGGAGCTTAGTAGCAGCAGGATGCGTGGGAAGATCAGGGGTTTCACTTTCTCAGTTCATTGGGTATGTTTCACAAACCTGTCCGATAATTAATGAGAAACAACTATTAATTGTGAAGGGTCGGTAAAAAAAAAAGTGAAAAGTAAAAAATTAAAAAGAAAGAAATGGGTGAAGTTCTAGAGAATGGCTGTTTCTGTCTCATGATTTAGCTTTGCATGTAGGTGTCATAATTTTGTGGACTTGCTCATAAGATATAAATGGGCTGATTAGAATGATATATATATATATAATTATCTTGTAAAGTAGAGAATTTTTTATTTAAAATTTATTTTAAAGAGTGGAAACTTATTTAACTTATTTATCAAATTACATTAAATGTGGTTACTGAACACGTTTTCAGAAAGCGTACTTAGTAAACAAATGCCTTCAAATTTCCTCGTTTTGAAGTTTGATCTAGAGTATAACCGTGATTGCTAACGACGCTTTTTATTAAAATGTTGTTAGCAATCATGTTTTCATCAGTGTTTAACAAGTATGAAACAAAAAAGTGTGGTTACTAAACACGCTTCCAAAAAAAAGTGTTTATTAATCACGCCTTAATATAATTTGAGAAGTTGAACAAGACTCGTTTTCTTAAAATAAAATTTATATTAAACATAATAATGGTAAGAAGCCATGTAAATGTATGTTTCTAGTACTTCAAGCATACCTATTTGATGATGCTTTTGGTGGACTATATTTGTAATTCAAACTGTAGTTTAGTTTGCATTTGTCATGTGACTCAAGTTTGTAATTTCTTGGTTGGTCTGTTCTTCCTTGAGCTTGTGGAGAGAATGCCTGTCAGAAATCTTGTAGTGCATATGGTTTTGATGATGACTAACAAAAAAAAATGTTGTATTTGATGCTATAGTAGTTAAATTTTTATGTTTTTTTGTAATTAACATTAACACATAATTATATTGTCATTAATTATTTTTATTTTTCAGATATTTCTCATATAGGAGTGTGCTTCTTGTGGAATGCATGCCTGTGGAGAATGTGGCTAACTTTTGTTTTTGTTATCTACGAAGAATGATGAGAAAAACATTTAATTTTGGTTTATGTTATTTTGAATTATGAACAAAATCATGTATTTAAACATTATATATATATTATGGAACATTATGTAGTGAGATAATTTTGTTGATGTATAATTATAAATGGAAGAATATTTTATTATGGAGAAATGGTTATTTTTATACAGGAATTTTTATATTATTATGCAATTATTACGGAGAAGTTTTAATATTTTTAATAATTTTATCACGGGATGTTTTTTTCTTTTTTGTGACGGCACTATACCGTCGCAAAAAATAGAAAATTTTAATATTTTTATTGATTTTATTATAGGTTTTATTTTTGCGACGGTACTAAACTGTCGCAAAAAATAGAAATTTTATTATTTTTTTAATACTTTTTGCGACGACAGTACACTGTCGCAAAAATAGAAATTTTCATATTTTTAATACTTTTTGCGACGGCATCATACCGTCGCAAAAACAATGTTCTTGCCGTTGCAAAAAAAAAAAAAGACTATTAGCGACAATATTTTTTGTCGTCTCAAATGACATTTTTAGCGACGGCAAAATAGTGTCGTCGCAAAAAGTCAAGAAATTTCAAACATTATTAGCGACTGTAAAGTGCCGTCGCAAAAGGCAAAAATACCGTCGCAAAACATTAGCGACGGCACTGTGCCGTCACAAAAACTCTTTTGCAACGCTTTCAGTTGCGACCCCCCTTTTGCCGTCGCAAAAAGTCATTTGCCGTCACAGAAAGTTTTTTGCAACGGCATTAGGAGTATTAGCGACGGCATTTTGCTGTCGCAAAAAGCTAAAATTTTAGTAGTGGAAGGAGTCTTTGGAATGCTTTTTTTGTTTTAGGTTCTGAAATAAGTAAGCACTGCAAAACCAGTTCTTGGTCAAGTAGTGAAGAAACCCAAAAGACTTACCTTTACATGAAATTTCATCCTTGAACTTTCTATCTGAGAGAGCTCTTTATGAGTAAGCAATGTAATTTCTAAGGAAAAATTTCATACTTCGAAGCACTTAAACTTGGTTTCGAAGCAAAATTGGTGAGTTCAAAACTGTTATTTACATAGATTATGTTAACCATACAATTGGAACATAACACCAGACTATACCAAATGAAATTTGAAAAGCCTAGTTTTATTGATAAGTAATATTTACATTGGGGAAACCTACTTGGCTACATTCTCAATTTTGTAAAAATAAGGAATAGATAAAGTCACAAAACCATGGAACTTTGTTTAGCAAAATTCAATAAATACATATTCTTTTTCTAACCTATCTTCCATCCTATCTAAATTTGATTATCTAATTGATGAGCCCTTAGTTGGAAAAAGAGTTGTTGGGCCTTCATTTTAAATTTTGTTTGTTTAAGTGCTTTCTCCATCTCGTTTATTTCTCCCTCTTCAGGTGCATCACCCATAGTGGCATCTTCCTCATACTCTGGATCTTGGTTTTTAAAGTGTTTGTATTCTTCGAGAAGATGCTTCATACTGAATTTGAAGGCAAGCAGCAAAAGTATTTCCCAACAACTCACTGGTGATAGAAGCATTTGTGTACCAATTGAGTAGAAAGGGAAGTTGACCCAAGAAAGTATGAAGTTCAGTCTGGGCCATAGGATTGAGGATGCGGCTTTGAGAAACAATATTACAAGACCATAATAAGTTCTTGTGAGGGATGTCATCTCGAAGGACTTCGAAGGATAAATGGGAGAAAGCGGCAAGCAGAGTCTAAGCTCTGTACTGTTTGTAAGGAGCAGGAGGAACCGGAGCATGATAGAGAGCGAAATACTGGCTCTCAAAAAGGGTGAGTTTCAGTTCCGCAATCCAGTTAGGATTGGAGGGCAAAGGAGGAGCAGTTGGGTTCCCTTCAAATGAAAGTAGGAATTCGGGCCTGTTCACGCATTCTAGCTAATCAAAAGAGCAAAGTTTTACTTTTTTGGCTAAGAGTGCAGGACTGATTCCCAAGGCTTCAGTAGGGTACAGAGTCCTTCACACCATTCTAGATGGCAAGGTAGAAGTATACCATGCTAAAAGCAAGTTGTCTTCAAGGCTGCGAAGACGGTCGAAGGGAATGTATGGATATACTACAGAACTGCGCATGGAGGGGTGAATTACAGTGGGATCATCAAACTTAGAAAATCGATGGTGTATTCGTTCTCTTGTTTGAGGTTGAGTGGGTGTGGGCCAAGCGTCCCATCCATTACTTTTAGAATGATGAAACAGCTTTATCACATGCAGAAAGTTTTGGGGCGGAGGAGGAACTTCCAATATCCATCTTTGCAAGTTCTTGGTCTAGAGGATTATAATTAGTAGATTCATGGTCCAAAGGTTGACAAGTTGTAAAAGCTTCCATAACTTGTATGAATGGGGGTGGATAAATGTGGCCAATAAATGCATGAAGATTCTTTCAAGGGCGGTCATCATTGTCAAATGTCTCCTCGTATGCTCGATCAATGTAAAAAAAGGTTGGTTGGTCATTAGAGATGTACCAGTCTCTTCGTATTCGCAGAATATAGAGGGAATATTTAAAGCATGGGGAAGGATTTAATGAAGGTCAGTGCTTCATTTCTAAGAAGACAGTTATACTTCAGCCAAGTCCATACACGTCCTAAGATGTGAGCAAAGTGCATTGGTTCACTAATATCACCAAGTATTGGGTATATTAGTGCGGGAGATAATGTTGGCTACATATTTTGTATAAGCCAATCCGTGGCACGAGGAGGGCAATTTGGGGAGTTAATACAAGACGCCAATCGAAGTCGAACACGTGGCAGTTCGTATTAGTAATAATAGATCTGCGTAGCATTGGAACAGTCGAGAGATACAAGATGATATGGCCAAACGGTTACTCATAAATTTAAATTTAAAATCAGGAGGAAGTCTAACTGCAAAAGTGGCGTAGTGAGACTGACTGTGAGAGAGCATGTTTAGCAATCATGGGAGGAAATTTTGACAGTTGGAAGTCCACTTCGACGGTTACTACTGGGAAGTATAAATAGCAAGGAAGGCCCTAGAATGAAGCCCCCAAACTCAGATCCAGAAACTAGTTTATTTACTTTATATTTCTTTCTAGTTCTTTACATTTTCAGCACTTCAATTCCTATACTGCATTTCATTTCCTAGGAGTAGTTATTCAGTAGTTTGTTACTGTGAACCTCGTTGAGGTTGGGTCATTGTAACTTCATTGTAAGTTTTCATTTTTTTAATGAAATTCGATTTCTGAATTATACTTACTTGTTACTATTCATAATTTTCTCCTAAACAAGCCTCCAGTAAAAGTCCTCTTCATTGAGGCTGAAAGAACTTCAACACAATCTCTTGATAATTGGTTGATAATTATAAATTCTGTAAGGACTAATTAATCCTTACTGGCACTCTTAAATTTACACTATTAACCTTCGAAAGCCAAAAAAGTCAACAATAAGTATAGGTTTGATGAACAGGGAAGAAGAAGAAGAAGAATAAAGAGGATGAGAGAGACACACAATGGTAGCAAAATCGCCGGAGATGAAAAGAGAGGTCGCCGGCGGTAGTGGTAGTGGTGGTCACCGGTGGAGGTGGTGGTGAAAAGGTTAGTGGGGTAGCGTTTGGAAAATTAGGGTTAGGGTTTGGGAAATTAGGGTTAGAATGTTAGGGATGTGAGTAAAAATGTAATGTTTTGACAAAATTGGAATTAAAAAAAAAATAAAGAAAATGAAGGGTCCAAAGAAGAAAGGTAGGTGCTAATAACAGTACTTTAAATAAAATATAATTATATTTCACCTATATTTTACCAACCATGTTTTTTCTTTTTAATTTTTTATCAAAATTCATACTCCAAATATAGCCTTAATAATTAATAAAATAAATAAAGCATTAAATTCAAATTGTAGCCATTGATTAAAAAAAAATTCAAATTATAGCAAAGCAGCAATAGTAGAAGGGTGGGACAAAGAGTTGAAACGAAGAAAAATGATAAAAGATCTAAAGAGTCTTTTAAATTGTATTTGGTTTATGAATTTTAATAGGAATTTGGAAAGGAAAAGAGAAAATATGTGTGAAATCTATATAATAAAGCAGGACAGTTTTTGAATCTTCAGCTTATTTTTGTCCTACTAGAACATTTGGATGGCTCAAATTTATTCAAATTATAAAACAACGTCTGAGATATATTTTTCAAAAAATATCTTATATGTACATTTTTTATTTTCTCGCTTCTCTCTCTTATTTTTTCATTTTCTCACCCATCTTTCCATGATCCCACATTCTTCCCTCTTTTCTTTTTATTTTTTATTTTATTTTCTCCTGTTTTTATTTTTCTCTCTATTTATTTTTTTTATTTTCTCCTTTTTATTTATTATATTTTACACATATTTCCATGCAATGTATGTATGTCTATAATATACTAGGACATTACGGGTATACATTCAATTTCCATATAATTATATAAGCAAAAGCAATATTGTATGTATGTCTGTAGAAATTGTATGTATGCCAGGCACATCTATCTATCTAGCTATATATTATATAAGTAAAAGCCAATTTTCGTGAGAAGTTTTGTAAGAACTCCAAAATTTTGTAATAGATTTGTGATTTTATCAAATTAAAAAATAAATTTAAGTAATATTGGGATTACAATTATATTCTAATCCTAACATTACTGTTGTACTTACTTGACCGAAAATAGTAATATTGTCCATAACTGTTGTACTTCAACTTGAAAATGTAACTATATTTCATTCAAATTTCATCTACACTTTCATTTTTTATTTTCAAATCCCTATATCCAAATCTCCGAACCAAATACAATATTAAGATGCACTTGTTCTTCTTGCGGCGTACACCTTTAATATCATAATTTTGGAAAACTATTTATGTTCTAGCTTCAATTATCCCTCTAATTTTTCAAAGGTCTTCCAAATTTATTCTAAAGTTTACATCAAACAATAAATATTAATCCTAAACCTAACCCAATATTACAAATAATTCCTATATTTTCTTCAAAATCCCAAATTATCCCTAAAACTTTGGAAAGTCAATTTAAGTTCCCAAGTGATTTTAAAATTTTCCTCTTCCCAAATGTGTTAAAAATTTTGTTAATTATTTAACTCTCAAATTACAAAATATTTGGTAATGTAGTAATTTCTTTTTCAGTTTTCTGTTCTTGAAAACACAAAGAACAAGACAAATTGTTTCCAAAAAAGTATTTTTGAGATGTCAATATAAGTTACTCCAATCTTCATATATCCAAATAAATTATCGAGGTTAGAAGACAAATACAACTTCTCTTCTTTGGCGTTTCTTAGTTTTTCTCTGAAAGTAAATGATCTACTTGCAATCTTGCATCAAGTGTTCATTTTTCCCATCTCAAAAATAAATTAAATTATCTACAACCAAATATTTTATATATACACACACGTATAGAATTATATAATAATTGGTACTATGTTTATATATTATTTATGTAACGCGATCACGCTTGTATAACATTTATATATATATATAGAATATCCATCAGATGATATCCATGGTTGTGATTGAACTTTTCTTTTGACTTGTCGACGTTTGTAAACAATGACTTGCTTACGTTAATATAAGTTATTTTCTATCCATTTAATCTGAGAGAGTGATGCTATACAAGTAGGAAAAATAAAGTATACAGTATACAGTATACAGAATGATGATTGCATTGAAATTTATCATTTTAAAACAAATATAAGTAATTATAAATATGTCACTGTTATATTATTTTAATAAAAAATTTGTATAAAAATTGTATAAGAATATTGTTTTCCTTGATACAAGAGAGACTAGGATTACATGCTTGGATTTGTCACCCTAAAAGTTCCAAAACATAATAAGCAAGATTATCGGTAATGTACGTATTAATGGGTAAGAAGTTGGATAACCCCACTTAATTATATCCATGATTAGCTAGCGAGAGAGAGAGGAGAGTGAATTTTTCTTATTGTATGTGAGGGTCTAGGGATGTTGTCGGAAAATTTGAAGGCCCGTCAAAAAAATCGAAGATCGCCAGAAAATTCAATTTCTCTAGAAATTGTGAGAGGTTTAGATTCTTCAACAGTCATAACTAGAAACACGATAGCAAAACGATGATAGAGATAAGAGATCGGGTAAAGAAGAAGGCAGAGTAATTAGAGAGAGAATAATAGGAAGGCTCTTCTACGAATCTCTCATTTTCACTCTTAAGGTGGATAATGGAGAAGGAAAATTAGTTCTTTCCCAAAAATTATCTCTTCAAAATTCAACCTTTTGTAAAGCTATGGGAAGGCGTTATTTATAGGCATCTCATGATGTAGGATGGAACTCATGTACAAGGCACATGGGGAAGATTCTCTCTAACCACTTTGTCCGATGAGGTAACCTCTTTAAGGATGAGGAAAATTGAACCCTTCTTCTTAGCCACACCGAACCAATGATCCCCAATCATCCTAAAGGGTCAAAGGTAGTCCTAGAGGAGGCCCTACCGCAGAAGGGTCAGGAGTAAGGGTGTAAATTGGGCCCGGGATCAGGATGGCCCATGTTGGACTGCTCGGGCTCTCGCTAAAATTCGGGTCGGGCTGTGCCGGCCTACGGGCCAGAAAATTAGACCCAAGCCCAAAGGGGTATTTGGAACTTGGACAAGCCAGGCCTTAGATTAGGCTTGGGCGGGCCCGAACTTTTTTTAATTTTTTTCATCAAAAATTTGTTCTTTTCCACTGAAAATGGCATTAGGCCTTGGGCGGGGCGAACGGGTAAGGCCTCGAGCTGGACTTTGAGTGGGCCTTAAACTAGTCGATGGGTTGGGCCATGGGTCGGGCCCATGGACCAGGCCGGGTTTCAAAATGATAACCTAGGCCCAGGCCCAATGTCTTGAACTCGGCTCGGGCCCAGGTCTAACCGGGCCTAACTAGGGCGGGTTTCAAGTTCCCTATGGGCCGCAGGCCAAATTTACACTTCTGGTTAAGGGTAGTTTAAGAGAACACCTTGCCGCAAATATCGTCGAGTCTCAAGGACCTCCTAGATCATTCTACATCGACCCGGGTATAGGCTAGTTTAATCGAAGAGTGGATTCATCTCCACTCATTGTTCTCAGGATTGGGTCCTTTGTTCAGACTCTGTCATGTCCATGGTTCTGGTGCGTCGATCACAGAAAGCTCCAAGCCCGCAAGTATTCCAGGACTCATTAATGAAGTGACTTCTAGATTGTGTTCGAATCTGTTTGAAGCCAAGCGTTTCGGATTCTTAGATTCATGGATTCAAACCCTTTCGAGTCTGTAACGCCCTAACCCTTCACATGTCATCGATATTGTTCGCTTTGGGTTACGCCCGCACGGATTTGTTTTTCTTAGTGGGTCACCCATCCTAGAACTACTCTAGTCTAAGCACGCTTACGTGGGGAGTTCTACTAGGGATTTCACCACTCGAGAAAAGGCCTCGATGTTATATAAAGGTCTAGGTTTTTACTTTTATAGCCTAGGAATTCTCCCTCCATTCCCAATGTGGGACACTGGGATCTTACAATCCACCCTCCTTAGGGCTGCACGTCTTCGTGCAGTAGCCTGTCCACATGCACCGAGAGACGCTAGGGGCCCACACTCAGTACTCCAAAGAGTTGGCTCTGATACCATTTGTAACGCTCCAACCCTTCACATGTCATCGATATTGTCCGCTTTGGGCCACGCCCACACGGATTTGTTATTCCCAATGGGTCACCCATCCTAGAACTACTCCAACCTAAGCACCACTACTACAAAAATAGTTAAAGATCACACTTTGACAAAAAAAAAAAATATCTTACTTTTATTAGAAATGTGATAAAAAAAAATTAGATTGATATTTTAATCACATTTAATTTGATTGAGTGTGATAATATTTATTTTTTATGTCACTTTTCAATTAAGTGTGATTATATATATATATATATATTTAATCACACCTTCTAATTAAAATATAATTATATATACACTACTACTTTTTAATCACACTTTTTAAATAAGTGTGATTATATGCATATATTTTTAATTACACATTCTAATTAAAGTGTGATTATTTATATATTTTTTAATCACACCTTCTAATTAAAGTGTGATTATATATACACTACTACTTTTTAATCACACTTTTTAAATAAGTGTGATTATATATATTTTTTTTAATCACACATTCTAAATAAAGTGTGATTATTTATATATTTTTTAATCACACTCCATAAATAGGTGTGATTGTATAAAACATTCCAATTCGATTT